TCCTTTTTTCTTTTCCTCTTTGTTCTTCCACTTTTCTTTTAATGTAATTACTTGATCTCCTTGTTTCTGCATATCTTAATACTTTTACTGCAAACAGGTGGGCTTCCGCAAATTATATCTCTTTGCGTGGTAGCCGATTTTGCATAATGCGGAGAAATATTCCATCTCCACTGAATTGTAAAGGTGATTTACTATCTCAGTGCAAGCATTTTCCAGGTTTTGAAACCAATGAACATCGGAATCGAGATGAAGATAGAAACAGCAACAAAGGCCACGGATGTTGTGCTGAAAATATCTCCTATGGAACTGCGCATGTCTCCCTCAATCATTCGGCTACTGTCGGCTGTCAATATGGAGTTTGCCAACAGCAGTGCTTCTGTAAGTATTTCAACACTCCCTGTAGAAGCTGTGGTTTTATCTCGCGTTGATGAGCTTCAGGATCGGACGGAAGGCAGTTCGCTCACTCCCAAGCTTCGTTCATTCCCGCAATATTGGAAGCCCAGGCGTTTCGACCAGAAAAAGTTTGTCTTAGCTGTCATCACTTGAGTAATTGCCTAAGTTCCTGCGCTTGCAGATATTGGTTTTTCCTGGCACCTACAGCAGAAGAAGCTTGCGAGGACAACATAGACGATGCTGCCGATAAAGCGGTCATGAAGAGGGCTCCTATAGAGCATGCTCACGTAGAGATGGAAAGGATCAACTTTACGCTCGAATCTGGAGACAGTTCTGTATGTTTCGTATCGCGTAAAGTTTGTACTACTACATTCTGTTACTTGTTTCTTCACAGGTGCCCGTACCGCTCATCTTCATGCAAATACTTGTAAACGCGGAGGCATCAGGATGGTCGTCTGCTCTGCGAGCTTCAGCTGATCTTTCTCTCCAGATGTCATACTACAATGAGGCTGCGAGGTAAAGTGGCGGCGCTGCGGGCTTTTTATCAAGGTTTCCTCCTTGTAGGTAGTAGACACCCCAAGTACGTAGCCAAAGCCTACTTGCCAATTCATGCGCTAAGTTCTGAAAATGCGCTTCAAACTTCCACC